AACCAGGACAACGGTAACAATGTTCCTCGTGTCTACAGATCGTTTATCGATACCATTTCAAATTTCAATAAACCAGCGAACAAGATTAGCAATAAATGCGGGATTCGTTACCTTTATTTTTAGTATCAAATGCAATCATTTCTCGTTTCGACAAAGTTTGACTAGTTAAAAGTTCGACAGATTTAAAGATGATACGCAATGATAGATAGGGTATTTAGAAAACTTAAAAACAACTTCAATTTTATAGTTATATTTTTTACTATTATAATATTTATAGTTTATACTTTACTAATATATATATAGTTTATATTTTTTAATATTTATTGTTACAATTAAATTTATATTAGTTAGAAAATAGAAGAATGTGTAAAAATACTGAAAGAATTCTTCTGGAACATCATTTTCCTTTTCATTTTCCTCTTTTCCAGTTTTTACAAGATTTTAGAGAAAATTAATATTTCTGAGATATTGTAGTCATCCCATTTAGCTACTTAAAAGTTAAATTTAAATCACAGGCACGCGTTCTTACTTCCATTCAGAGATTGTCTCTTTTACGTTTTATCTTTTCACACTTCCTACTGTGATTGTGACAAGGAAATAAAATGGTCGCATTTACCATTAAACGCATAACAAGAATATAGATAGCGCGTTTTTACCCAGATGCACGAGCATTCCCAGATGATGACACACAAGAGATAAGAACGTGATTTACGTGGAAAGCACGTCTGTATAAAGACACGGCACATATATATCTCGAGATTAGACAGCGACCGAAAGGAAACGCGTTTCCCGCGTACTTCCGGCGATTCTCCTGGAACAAGGGAAACACGTTGTTCCTCTGTCCCGCTTCTTCTCATCGGACCGACAGAAAATGAGGAGAAACTACGGCGAAAGTGTTTTCGAACGTAAATGCACGCGCATAAAAGCATCGCTTCCGCTTTATGATCCCACGAGGATTTATGGACCTTTGCCAGGCGTCGTCTATACGATATTACGTAACATTTCCATCAGAAAACCGAGCAAATCTTCATCCCTCGCGATCTGATCTGTCGAGATGCATCCGACAGACGTAGTTCGATTTATCGCCAATGTAAATACATACAGCGAGGAAAATTCGCGTGGACGTGAAATATCTCGTAAGATTTCCGGCGATAGATCGAATTAAATTGTAAATATATCGTAGGGATTAATTGTTGTTTATAAGCAACATTAGAAAATTTCACATTAATTACGTAATAATATAATGAAATAATTAATAATAAATTATTGTTTGTATAAATTATTAAACAATTATTAAATATATGTCATTTAATAAATAAGCAATTTTAAATGTTTTATTTGTATAATTTGTAATGCAAGAAAAAAAACAACTTTTTTTTTAACTTTTTTAGAGCACTGAATTCGAATCTACAGCCAGAAAAATTCCATCAGATCGAATTTTGAAATAAAATGTTATTTTTAAGATATACAACATGTCAATTTTTTAAGATTTCAGCATTTCCTTTCGAACAATTTTGAGGCGACAAATGATAAAGAATGAAAATGTTTCCAATAGGATTTGATAATATTGAGAACGTTATCAGATCCAAATAAAAACAAAAATTAAACTCAGCAATTCTACTTTATTTTGTAATTTTAATAAAATTTCACTATATATTAAACAAAAAAATCTTTTCTTATATCTCAAAAATCGGGTCTGATGGAAATATTTTAATGGCAGATTTAGGCTTAGGGTCGAAGACTGTTCTAAAAACAGTCTTTATATCACAAAATCTTTTACATAAAATCTCGTACACTAAAATTATTATTGATAAAACAATCGTTCGTTATCTCTCCTTATATACAGAAAAACACGCGTTATTTCAAAAACAATATCATCAATATTTCAAAAATAAAAAACCTTCCAATTGAGGACAATGTTTTTTTAGACTCTCGTCACGTCGTAAAAAGGAACGAACGTCATCAAGTGTCGCTACTTATCGCAGTGAGTTTAAGGGCCACCTGTCGAATTATACAGAAATACACTTTGGACGCCTAGGCGAGGTCTAAGCTTAGCTCGTTCGCCTCTCGAAATGTACAGTCTAGACGGAACGTGCGTTCTGATTACTACACAAACAACACTTGGCACCTCTCGGATTATACTCCGAGAATAGGTACTTTGAGTTTCGATCCCGCCGCCTCGCAAATGAATCATAATATCCTATGCTAATTTATTCCACTGTAATCAAGACCCTAACGTCGAGTTATGGCAGTTGTGGGAAAAACAACACCGACCACAACGTTTTCGTGCGCTGTTATTTTTCATTCCTCGTGCATATTCGACGTGTTTTGCATTCAGGCGGCTCTAATGACATTCATGCACGAAGCCAAGGCGGCTAAGCGAAATAGAACAGTACACAACCCGAAAAAATCGATTGCAGGTAGTGGCAGATTATTCGATATCAAATGAGAATTCTCGATCGAGATTGGATCAAATAATTCATACATAAAAAAAGAAATAAAGTTTTGCCACATATCATATTATACACTTAAATTAAAATACAATATTAGCATTTATCGCACTAAATAATTTAATATAAAAAACAATTAAACATTAAACAACATGAGAACTGAAAACAGTATGTGTTAAAATATTAAGTAAATTTTCAAAATAGATCAAAAAATTTTTAATCTGTTTTGAAAGATAGACATTAACTTCGGTGTATTTAAAAAGATAAAATATACCATAAAAGTTTTGTCTTCATTTAAAATATTAGCCAACCAATAAAAATTATATTAATAATCATAGTTCATAAAATAATTCAAATAATATTTAATTCCACATTTCAATAAAAAAATTGCATATGACAGTTAATTTTACATTTTGCTAAATTACAAACAAGATTTAATTCCATTATTTACTATAATATTTATTGTAAATTTAACTACAGTTCAAACGACATAAGAACTGCAAAGACTTAACAAAGACGCAATTTTAATTTTTTGCAATTTGATTTTTTTTTCATCTTACAGACTTTGCTTTCCGTAAACAGAGTTTGATCGACGACGCAAAGAACTTAAACGACGCACATACGGATATCCATCAATTTCCACATCGAGAAGCTAATTTCGCAGAGATCCGATCGAACCTCAACACGACACTTTGCTCAGATGAAATACTATACCATCGTGATACCTATGTGGCGACATCGGGCCGCAGCGAGAGACTGGCGATCAGACACCACACCACGCCACATCGAACCACGTTGCGCGCAGCCAGTTGACCGAAATTCACCCTCGCGCGATTAGGCGAGCGGGTGGTTTAACATTACCGCTTAGCCGATAGAAAGATGGTGTAAGGCCTTCTTCTTATCTCTCTTTCTCTTTCTGCGAGGATAGTGGCGAAAGAGAGGCGGCAGTGAGAGTGGGTTATGAATCGAGCGAGGGTAGATCGAGGGAGCATGACGCGACAGGGACGACGAAGTCGACGAGGATGGTGGGAGCGACGGCGGCGGCGGCGGTGGCGGCGGCGGCGGCGGCGGCGACGGCGTCGTTGCTACTCGTACCTCCAGCACACGTGAACTATACCTAAATGCCGTGCCTCGCCGCGAATCGCGTGGCGTAGCCAAGCAACGCGCGTGCCATGACCATCGCCGCCGATAGTCTTCGGCGAAACGGTACTAAGGACGGACCGGGGAGATTCGCCCGACGCGAAGAGCGGGACCGTCGTCGACGTGCAGTTTCCCCGTGCACGACGTCGTCCACCGTCGCCGTCGTCGCGGTGCTCTTTGAACGGGAGAAAGGCCGAACGAACGAACGAACGGATGGACGGGCAGGCCGACACCGGTCAGGATTGTCATCGATCGCCAGGAGAAACGGTATCGCAGGTGTTCGGCGGGCGAGTGCGCGATCGACCGGGTCAGCTAAACCCCGTTGTTGTACACTGAGAAAAAGGTCGGTCTCTCACTTGGCAAATTGACACCTGTCACGGTATCAACAAGGTATCAAATGAAATTGAAGGGCGCGGTGTAACTGACATTTGCGGGAATTTATCTGTCGAAAAAACTCGGAAAAATTTATTTCAATTCCGAGACACGCAATTTCGAACCGATTATCTGAAAATGACTTCAAACGATTTTACATCGCGCTCTTTTATTAACATCGTCGGTTTCATTGGCGAATAAATAAATTAATAAAGCATGTAATATACGATATAATATTGTATATTAAATTGTTATGTTTTGCGTTAGTCTCGCTTCCGGTTCGTTCATCAAATTAAAATATCAATTATTTAATTTATTTAACAGTAATTTCGTTTGTTGAAAAATATGAGCATTAAGCTGAGAACAAAAGTACATGGAATATTAAATAGGAGATAGGATTTCGCGCAATTAGGATTAATAGGATGATTTAGGTGAGTGAAGATATCTAGTTTTAAAATAAACTTTGAATTAGGCGATGCGATCAGATAATGAAATTCGATAATATTCAGATAATATCAAATGGCCGCGTTTTACTGTCACTCTGAATACCCTGAACGTAAAAGCTGCAAAGGTCACATTTTGCACGCTTGAAGCACCGCTATTAATATTCGGAGTGCGGACGTCGTACATCACTACTTGTTTCATTTAATTACGCTTCAATCAAATGTAAACAACTTCTCGAACGCGCGTTCCACTTTAATCTATACACGAGCTAACGAGATCGCCAACGGCGATCAATAGCAACAACTGATGTTCGATCGTTCCCGTTAATGATTCTTGCGAAAGTTCGCGAGTGGCTCTACTCTTGAAGTAACACTAAAATAGCTGACGATATCTTGCTAGAATTGTGTCGAGCTGTTAATTTGATAATTTCTGTTCTTTTGGTTAATAAAAGTTTCTGTTATTACATTATTTATATTATTATATTATCATATTTTATTATATTATTATATTTATTATATTATTATATTAGAAATTTTGTTAGAATTTTTATTATTAAAATTATGTATCATATTCAGTTATTTTCAATATTCCGTACTGTATATTTAATATAAAGTAATAATAATAATAATAATGAAATTAAAATGATAGCAGAGAAATTAAAATGGCACCGTCGCCGGTTCTGATGTTAATCACGAACGGATAAAAGCGACTCATGAAATATACACACCTCGCTCTCCTCCTCGCCATGTCAGATAAACAATTATTAAGTATCCAGTTGCTACCATGAACATCGCACAGCAATGATCACCCAGATCGCCCACACGCACGACGTCCCGTGTCTCCGCTTCCACCACGAGGATCTTAAATTATTTCCTCATGCAACATACACCGGTCACCAACAATCGCGATAGTTAGATTACAAAATAATATGCTGCCGCACGTTTCGCGGCAAGTCATCGAGCTTCAAGGATCCTCCATGCCGACATTAATAAACGTCGCTACATTCCTGGTCACGACGACGGTATTAATTTTTGCGCTATAAAATTTCGTCAGGTGATGACGTTCGATGTCGTGACGGCGAACGCAAAAACATAACTGGCACCGTTACTTCGCTCTGCGGTAACATATATCAGCGACTTTACTGCGAAACATCGTTAGCAATAAAAATGGGTAGGGCTGATTTCATCTATCCAGAGATACAATAATCGGAAGACTAGTATCATTTGGTGTCGACTGTTATCGTTAATAATATTATAACTATATATACTTTAGTATGCGAGTCAAGAGTAAAATACATTGCGGAATATTACAGAAAGGTTGAGTCCTACGAACAAAGAAATATTAGAAACAGGAATAAAGAGAGAGAGAGAGAGAGAGATTTAACATAAAATAAAGATTAAACGTAAAGTGGATGCAAATAAGTCATGACATTTGATATGTCTCGTCTTATTTGTATCCATTGGGTATTATGTTTAATCTTTACTTCTAATTGTTTTATTCCTCTAATATTTAATATTTATTCCTGTTCCTAATGTTCCTAATGTCCATTATGCGCAGAGCGAATAATAGTGTCCAGATATGAATAAATAAAAAAACAGAAAGTCATTAATTTAAAATCATTCACATTAGCAGTGAAATGGATATAAAATGAATGGAAAATCCAAATGTCACTTTTCAGTTGCTGAATAATGACAAGATAAGATAATAATTGGCGATATATGTCAGTTTCTGAAATCAATTAAGCGTCACTCTCATCAGTTTAATGGAAAACTTGTAAAGCACACATACAGCGATACTAAATTAATTTAGGAGAAATGTATGATATTTTTAGTGCTCTTTTTCCAATAACTCAAAATAAAACATTCTTTCCGCAACATTCATAACGTTCCACGAGCAAAAACGTCTCATTAACACTTTCATTAAATATTATTAAACAACTTTTTATGATATTCTAATTTTCTTTGTAAATCTATTTCGTTATCTTTTTACAAGCTTTATAGAAAAATCATAAAACAAAAATATCTTTCCACAGAAAAGAAATAAATGAAAATTATTCAGACGATTTAAATTCGCACGCGAGAGAGATTTTTTTCCTAAATTAAATCTTGAAAAACGGGAAAAACGGATCTTGTTTCTCTCTTAAGCGCAAAAGCTGCTTTTAGTAATCGAGTAAAACTCGATTACAAAAACAGCTTTCGCGCTGACGTATTTTCGATCCACGAAAATATCCTTCCATCATATGCACGTGAAAAAAAGTAATTTCGCTAAAGTAAAATATTTAAAAGTTCAACTAGATACAGATAAAAAATAATTTTGTTAGGTCCCACTAATGTAAGATTAACTTTAATCTCGATTTTACTGTTTATCTTTTTTTTTAATTTCCATTCTTAATTTTTCTAATTCATAAAATTAAAAAAAGAGAGTAGGATTGAACCGAGATTAAAGTTACTCTTACATTCATGGAATTGGATCTTAGACCATCAAAAAGTAATTATTTATGTAGGACACTCAAGCTGGTTGCCAGAATGTTAAATCTTTTGCTCAATATGCTTGAGCGTTCCACATAATTATTCTGATAGTCTAACAGAATTATTTTCAAATCTTGCTAAATTTTGACACACTTCAGCAAAATCGTTTCTTTCTATTCATTCACAGAGCGGCGTATAATAATCCAACAATGGCGTTCGTTGCATTTCAACTTGCCGCTTGACCTTCGCGTTGCGCTTTCCAATCTCTGATCAACATTTATCTCAGGTCCTCAAATTTGTCGACCGCTATAGCCGCAATAACATTTAGAGTTCTTTCCGCTTCCTCGGATCTCAAGAGCTTTTGTTCCCGAAGAATACATTATTATCCTGTGATGCGATCGACTTTGGCCGGGCTCGCGAGTCGCGAGCTGAGAGCGTTCGATACGAGAAATGGGGGAAAAAAGGCCGACGTAGTTTTACGTGGCAAACCCACCCAGGCACATACGATCGACGAAGGCACCTAGGACGGTTCTATATATAGAACACGTAGGCCATATACGGCGTATACATATGTCACGTGCCTTCGGTGCGTCCTTTAGTCGATACACGCGCAATCACGCAGAATATGCTCGATGTCAGACCGCTAACGAGTTAATTTCTCTCAAAGCGCGATAATTTCTATTCAAAATTTCAGATTCATGAATTCATGAGATTTGAGAATATCCGATGCCAACTAATTACGAGATAAATGTTTGATCATGTGCGACGTTAAGTGGAAAAAATGTAAAATGTTTATTTAGCACCGTTTTTATAGTGCATCGCAATGTGATAATTTTATTTATATCGTAAATTATTCTTGAAATTCCAAGATAATTTTGCCTATTTTATAAACCGATTTAAGGTCAAATTAAACGGTAATCTAATTTTGAAGTGAAAAACATTTTAATAATATTTTCATACAATATATATATATATAAGAACAACAATAATTTTATTTATATTTGGAAAATTGAAAACTTTGTTGAATTTATGAATTAATTGATTTATATTATAGTTTTCAAATTATGAGTTTAGTTTGTATTTAATAAATCAATTTTAATGAATGAGAGTATCAACATCGAGTATCAACAAAGAAATTTCAATAATAAGTGCGACGTACCACGATAACAAAGACTTACATATAACTCAGAAAATGCTTGTGCTGAATTAATTCAAGTAATCTGATCCATCTCCATCTCTCGCGACTAATCGGTTTAATTAAAAACGTTAATTAAAAGCGACGAGGCAATTATAGTCGGACGAGCTCTACGCCTCAAATATATATTATTGTATATATTGAGAACAGCGTACGCACGATGGATTTCATGCTCGCGCGTGGAAATCGAGAGACCCGTAAGACTTTTAAATTTTTCATGCCGAGAATGGAGAGATACCATTAAGCCTGGTCGAATTTGATCGTGTGCATTCAAGGTAAGCGCGATTTCACTGCATTCCCCGGTAAATGTATCGAAATTATTCGCCATTGATTTCGCCAGTTAAATTTGCGCCGGCATGATACCGAGGTCAAAATTTATACGAGTTAACTAGGCGTGCGTAATTTTCGTTACGTACTTACAACGATGACGGGAACTAATTGGAGCACCAGCAATATGACAACTCCAATTAGCAAACTGCAGACAGCGCAAACACGCGGTTTCCCGCAGTTATTTGCAGCCCCCACATTGCCCCAGGGTAATGAAAACTTGGGCTGTCGAACTTCGAATCTACCGGGAGATACTTTTCGGATAAGCAAGAATCCCTGGATCTAGATCAGGAACTTTTGATGTCTTATAGGTAAATAGATGTATGTGGAAAGTGCTTAAAAAAAAAAAAAAAGAAACGTTTTTCCAACCGTTCGAGTTCAACGAGTTCTAATTGCCATAAAATCGAGAGAATTAACGGAGTTCTTAAGTCGGAAAGACAATTCCCGAGAGCTCGAACTTCTTCGGGCAAGACCAATAGCTGCGCGAAGACAGACTTGCTTGACCTCTTCTGCACCGAGCGCCCTTCCTTCCTGTGAAACTTTTCGTGAGCTTTTAAGAAATTTATTAAACTCCATTTCGAGGGAAGCGCAATTCTATTAATCTTTCTGCAAATCTAATCTTTAAACAAAACTCTTTACCATTGTGCCATTTACACCGTTGAAACGCTCCCCAACATAACGTTAATTAGCGTGCTATTTAATTAAATAGCCTATATTGTACGAAACATTTACACAACCCTTCATTTCATTGTAATTTCATTGTAATTTATTCAATTTTGCCAAATCAAATTCTTTTAAAATTTTCACTTTTTAAGGTCAATTAATAAATTTATTTTTATTTTCATTTTCATTTTTCTAATTTATTCATTTATCACTTTCAATTTATCAGTTAAACTAAAAAAGTCTAGCAAAGTTTAAAAATAAGTGGATTTGATTAAAATAATTGAAGATTGAATTTATTCTGATATTAACGTCAAACGATATCCGTCATGCGGGAGAAAAAATTTAATTTTAATTAACAAATACGGCTATAATTTCTTTCTCTAGATTATCGCGTCGTATAATACAACTATAATGTAAAGGAAAGTTTAGGTGGTGACGCGGAACGTCAGTATTACGTACGTAATGCCCGTAATACCCGGCGTGTTCTAGATGTTTTAGCCACCGACATCGATCCCAAGTACGGGGTGTTGTAAAAGTATGCGACAGGGCGTCGGCGACAACTGTCACGTCGCGACGCCGCTGTCGCGACATGCTCGCGAGTAAAACGAGCAAATCGTCGCGCGCGCGAGCAATAACAGTCACGATAACACGAGGGTATCGCGGATGATAATTCGGTGGAATCAGAGACAGACGTAATCGCCGAGAGAGCAGCTTATACCACAGATACCGTGCACGAATCCGCGTTGTTGTCGGCGTATAGAAGCATTCCGGTGAATAATTCGAGAGCGAAGATGGCCTTCGGAAAAGTTACAAAAGTAAAGACTTGTGCAGTTGCGACTTTAAATCGTCTAACATTAAATGTCGCTGGGTCATCATCAAGGAATAAAACAGCCCGTGAGATATAACGAGCTTCGACAGAGAAGACTCTGGTTGGTATCATTAACGTTATCCCTCCAAAAAAAAAAAGTGAATTATTGATAAAAATCGCGAATAATTAAGAACACCGTTCTCTATTTAATCGTGAGATTTAAATGCCCTTTAAAATTCGTCCTATGAATATATATATATAAATATAAAATGATTGATATCTAGTCAATACATGATTAATAACAAATTTGTGCATCTTTCTTGTGGTCTTTCTAATATATCGGGGAAAATCGGAGACGACGAGTCGTAGATTCAAATAACGTTAACGATGAGTTCTGAAGATTGTCAAGAATCTGTCTGCGAATGCAACAAGCGAATGCATTATTGGAGCAAGCGACTTGACCTGAGAAGAAGTGGATCAGAAGCACGGATGCGTTACGAGTGCTCCACGATTAATACGAATACTCGGCAGATGCCTCGGCATGTCTCGGAAGGCAACAACGTCTAAAATTCTATTTACCATATGCTAATGGTATGTAATACGGTGACATATATAATATATATATATATACACAGAAAAACAGTTTTGAAGTGCAAACACTTAGCTGAATACTTTTAAAATTTAGACCATCCAAATAATTATGTAGAACGCTTACCGGTTGTTAAATGTCAAAATGCTCTTTGCAACATTACTCATGAAATTCCTACATAATTATTTGAACGATCTAACAAAATTATTCTCAGATCTACGTCTAACTAAATTTTTAGATATTTCGTAAAATCGTTCTTTCCATGCATGCAATGATCTTTTAGCAATAATTACTATCTTTCCTTATATTTATTATATATTATATTTATTAATATATTTATTTATATATATATTTATATATTAATATAAAATTACTTGAATAAAACGTTTTTCAAGAGAAGAATAACATTCAACAAAGAATGAAAAGAGAATTAAAAGCTTAAAAATTCTATCGTCACGACTGATTCGGTACGCAGATCATCGAAACATTACGCTCAATATCAAGAAATTTCGACGACCTTGAGTAATTATAATGCCTTTGAAAGATTTAATCGGCAGATGTATGCATGTCACAATGACAAAACACGGCATAACTGTACCGTGAGAATATCACGCTCCTACATTGCCCAGTTCAGCATAGCTGATGTAAGTCAAGGTCGTCGATTAGCGAACAAGCTCGATTGAAACGTACTTCGTATGTATAACATTGACACTTCATGAATTAGAAAGCGAAGAAAATTGAAGAACTTCTTATATTGGAGATATAAATAATTTCTACAGCGTTCAATTTAAGCTCAACATCAACTTAATCTCTGTACAGATAAAACATTTATGATGCCAATTCAACAATAATGATTGTGCTGTGAACAATTGAACATCAAACGGTTTTATTAAATAATTAAATATCAATTACAATTAAGTATCGAAGATTTTCTTTTCAAAAAGAATCTTTGAAATAAACTCTTATTATGTGTTTGTGTGTGTGTGTGTGTGTGTGTGTGTATGTGTAATATTTCAAATTAAAAATCTGTTAAAAAAACGATCATGTGATTGTAACGTTATTTTGAGATGCTACACAGATGATTAAACTTAAATAAAATTAACATCGGGTGATATATAGCGTGACATTGTGACCTCCTGAGATAATCATGAGCAGGTGGTTGATTAGATTAAATGTGTAGCTGAATAACTCTAGATCCGAATGAGGCAGAAGATAGGTTGTCATAATACTCGATTAGGTCGATACGTAGGACAATGTGAGACTGGTATTAAACGTAATTGAATACTCTTTTAATAAGACATCAATTAGTTTCGCTTCGGGTAAAAATAGCATGGTCAAATGGAAATTTTCTAGCCGATTAAGTGAATATCGAAAATTAATGTGACAATAAGTAACTGTCATCATGATTTTATAAAACAGAGATTTTAATATGATTAAAAATTATAAACTTTAATATATATCATTAAATAGCTTTTTAACAAATTTAACAAATTGCTAAGAAAATTATCAAAATAATTTAAAAATATGCTGTCGTATAATTTATTTGTGAACTATTCATAATAAAATAAAAATAAAATCCGTTAATAAAATACATTTTACATTCATTAAATTTTTGTATTACGAATTAATGTATACATACAGAAATAAAATCTCATAAGGCAATTAAATAATACACATCCTGCTCAAGAAATTATTCATATGACTTTATGTTATACACTTACCTGCAATTCAGGCAGTCCCGCAAACTTCCTCATCTAACATCCTTCATTTGCGCGAATCTGCAACAAGGAACATACGTTCCTATTGTAGTCTCGGAAGACAAAGTTTTCGAACAGCAATCCAATTTCTTGAATATACATATTCATGCTGTTTCATATACATTTTCAGTGTCAATTTAAACGTGGTCAAAAATTGCTTAAATTTAACGCCAGTTACAAATGATTCTGCAAGTTATATCGCTCATTCGTACCCTGCAACGGCTAAAGGATAAGTTTAATAATCGTTAACAATTAATCTGTCATATGAAGGGACGCACGATGTCATCGTGAAACAGTATAGGCACTCATTATGGACTAAAACGAACTACGTCGAAGCGAATATTGGGTTTTATATTTTCTCTCTAATAAATTGATTTCAATTTTTTACGCAATTAATAACTTAATAACCTTAATAATTTAGCTTAATAACTTAATAACCTGATTAAACAAAAAAATTTTTAATTAATATTAGATAAAGATGATAAATTTTAAATGTTCGTTGTAATTTTTTAAATTTCTTTTTCAATGCATTAGAATTCAAAATTATTTTCATTCAAAGTATTAATCTACTACATTATGATATGCACATCTGATATATTATAATTTATTTAATATAAAGTTAAATAATTATTATATCAATTGTATAATCAAAATTAACAAGAACGTATAAAGTTCAATTTCGTTTTATTTAGCGTTATTATATACCTATATATGTATATTTATTTTGTAGCACGAAATATTTCAAACATTTACATTAATTCCAAACTAGCTCAAACAAAAAATAGTGCGACGTAAGTAATAGTATAACGTAAGTAATCTCTGGCAAACTACTTTAATAAAAGATTGAATAAGCGACTTATGATCTTTATGTAACATTCTTAGTAAAAGTTAATCCAGTGCACAAAATCACAATTGAACTTTGTTAAGAGAGAACTTTGTTACTGGCGAGACGGTAAATCTTTTCATGCAAGTTTACTTCGTGCATTACCACGTTCAGTGGCAACTTCATTAACGCGCTAAGCAAAAACGCGGATACCGTTAGGAACAAAAAAATAAAAAAAAAAGAATCAGAATAACACGGGACGGGAAAACGGTTACAAGTTTTCCAGCCACCCTCATGCAGTTTTGCATCCCTCAAACACATAAGAAAAAAAACGCGGAAAGTTCGCTCGTTGTGTCCGAAGGAAAAAAAACAGGATCAACGCGTTTATCGACTTTTACAGCGGTTTCACGCTTTACAGCGGTAGACGCAAGGAATCAGCAGTTTTAAAGTTCACGTTACAATGTTGGCAAATCGATATTCAGCCGCAAGCTTCGAAGCGAACAACTCGAGAACTTGTTACCAATATTACATCCATGATAATGCATAAAAAAATTAAAATACTAATATTTAAAATAATATTAAAAATGTTAATATTTAAGTTGTAACATAAAACAATTATAGAATAACAATTTTAAAACTCGAAGAATTTCTTTCTATGAGGATCTTGGATAAGATTTAAAACTTTCTTCTCGTCGACCATTGCGTGCGCATGCTCACAAAAAATATCGACTCTTAGCCGCGGTCTAATAAATTAACACAGAGTAGATTATCCTTGAAATTAACTATCGTACTGGGCGGTTCAAAATTGATATCGATCGCTGCCTCGAGAGTGGAAAGGGATTTACCAGGAATATTCTCCTTGGAATATTCCTGCAATATTTACTTTTTCAGTCATCGCTGTGAAATAAGCAAATATAAACAGTACCGGCAGGAAGTCGTATCGGTATTATTTATGTTATTTTACCAATTTCGAAACATATTTCCATCAAGAACAATTTCGCATGTGCTAGCGTTCCCTCAAATTTACGTTAGTTTATTCAACGAATTGAAAATCCTATAAGTAAACACTTAATGTTCCCGCTGAGAAAATGATAGATCGTGTTAAAGTTGATAACTCAATTAGCAACTAAAAGTACGAAGCGACTTATATTAGGCTTTACATCCTCAATGGAACCAGACAAATTGTAATAAATTTTCTCAATCCATAAATGTCACAAAGTAAACAAAGATAAATCATTTCGATATTTGATTTTCGAAAATATGCGCAGTATCCTAGATATATCAAAAGATACATTGTAGATTCCTGCAGGAAACGCAACGCTGATCGTGGAATAAAAAAAAAAATTCACAATTAGATATCGTTTGTTTGCAGATCGCGCGATCAGGCAGCAGCACGAAACAAGTTCTGACGGCTATCGGTCGACCTGCTGGAGTAACAATGACACGCGCGTCTCACGCGCGAGCAAACCCGCCGACGGGTATCCGTGAAGCCGAGCAGTCGTTCGGACGGGAGCCCCGGCTCTACGTGAGTATTGTACAATGAGAAAATTCAATTTGGAGCGTTGGAATTCCGCGCGAACCGCGTCGCGACGTGAGCGCGACTCGACTTCGTAAAAAGGCGTCTCGCACGAAATCACGCTGTCGACGGCGACGCTGTGCGATCTGCGGGATTTTATCAGCGGTAACGGAAGCGCAATGCGAAAGTGTCTCCGTTTAACGGTTGAAACGCACCGCTAGACAGACAACAATACGAGTCAACAATATAGTTGCGGTCGATCGGCGTCGCCTCGAGTCGAATTTAAATTTACTGCTTTTTTTCTGCTAATTAAATATCAGTACCTGCTTCTGTCACGTTCAATTGTAATAGTATTATAAAAAGAAAAATGCACGTAAGCTTTTGTTCTCTCCATATTGTTAAATATTAAAGGAACAATAATAATCCCTGGAATTAAATAACATTTTGTTATTTTTTATTTTCATGTGTATCAAAATGTAAATCAATTCATTCCTGTAAAACTTAGTTCATATGAACGTATGTAAAGAATAAATAAAAATTAAGTTAAATTTAATGAACTTTCTTGAGTTAAATTGTTTAATTCCATTGTTTTAGTTGTAGCTAAATTAACAACATATTAGATAGGAACAATTGGACGATTGGAATGCTATAAAATATTAAACTATAAAAATAATTAAAAATAATTCTAATAATGTGACATTATCAATTTTAACAGCGTATATTCACTTAAGATGGACAAATGACAATGTATACAAGACACACTCGTAAAAAATGGTCTAATCTTCAAGATTGTAAGAAGAGTTATGCGCTGTCATGAAGTACACTTTCTTATTGCGAAACCTCTCTACGAACATATCTCCGTGCAACAGCGCAACACCAATAAACCACACTTTTTTTTCGGAGTGCAAAGAGGATTAATCTAAATTTTATGTCCCCAAGTACAAAATTGATTTTCTCTCTTTTTAAGAGAGTGGATTAGAAGACCAATTTCATTTTTATTTATATATACATATATATACTCGTTTTATATATATAAAATAAATATTAAGAGCAAATCAATATTTGTTATTAATATTATATTCGTAATAATAAATAATAAACATGTTAAAATTTAAATTATACCATAAGAAAATAGAATAACGATTCGAATATTCATTTAGAGAATCTAAATGAGAAAATAAAATATAACAATTCAAATGACAAATACTCGTTTAAAGAATCTCTTCAATGTATCACAAATAAAAAAATTATGATATAAGCATGAAACGATACAAAAATTCAAAATGAATATCCTGTTCATTTCGTTCATTATTTCCTGTTCATTATTTCAAAAATAATGTTTCCAGATCTGAGTTACGATTCGGCTACGAGGATCCCCCCGAGCGATCTAACCGGTCGTAATGCACAGTCGATCGTGCTCGGGGGGAGAGGAGAGAGGTGTGTATCCGGTAGATTTTTTCGACAAAAGGCGTTTCCGGAAACGGTAGATTCCTTTTCGAGACAATCAACGATCTCGGAGCAACACGGATGATTGAAATTCTCTCGATCTTCGTGGGTGATAACGAGTGATTGGTAGTAACACGTACGACACGTTATTATATCATCAATAACTCGATCTACGAGATACAATCGGTGAGCCTATTAACAAGGCGATTGAGAGATAACTACCACTTTAAAGAGGAGAAAGGTAAAAATAATTAATCTTAGCGACGTTAATTAGTCGCATTCCAATCCTATTAAATCAAGAGAGACACGCGATTGAGATCGACATCGACGGGTGGAAAGACGAGAACAAGATAATGCAGAAGATAGCGGTGATGGCCGCGGTGCAAAAGGCCCACGGCTATCATAACGGCAGCAACGCTTACGGGGATGCGAGTAACGCCTCACCGGAGTATAACGGCTCCTCGTCAACCAGCAAAAGCGGTCGCTTCGACGCAGATCTGCACGGCAATGTTAACATCCTTCTTGGTGGGTGAGTAACAATCGCGCCAGCTGGACAGATGCTCCGACAGCACAGCTCACAAAATATAGGCGGAAGATATCTCACAGCAAACACACCTAATCTTGAGCTCTTTGAGAAGACGCATCGTCATCCCTCGCGCACATGCTTTGCTCCCTTAATCCTCCAACAGATTGTAGTTCGTACGTCAAACGGACCGTTGCATGTACAAGACACGACGAAAGTACTCAATTGCTTAGATAGCCGATGGTTGAAAATTCAATGGTTGTTCCGCGGAACAACGTGAGAGATTCAACCTATAAGTTAAAATCGGCTTATTGGAAAAACTTGATAGTTCTGAAGGAAGATAACGTTGCTCCTTTGAAATTTGAAATTTTTCCTCTTCACAAGAATAATTTTCATAAAAATATTTAATTTAACAAATATCATAGTAAAATTTATATTTCATATATAAATAAGATAAAAATGTATAAAACATTATATTCACGGAATTTGATAATAATGTCGCAAAGTAGGATTAAATTAAAAAGTCGAAGATTTTTATTGCAGCAGATGTTACAGATACAGAAGTATATAGAAAACTTCAAATCATCATTGTTAAATCCGCGGGTAATGAATTTTTATCTTAAGTCGCTTTATTAGCAATTTAAGATAAGAAGATTTATGATGAATAAATACTAATTAAACGGTTGTTGCAATTACTAACAATGCGTTATGTCGCATGCATGATAAGACTTGTTTTTGTATATTACCAGCTGTGCAGTAAAATTCTTCGAGTAAACACAAAGAAAGACGTTATCTTTCAAGTTAATACCTGTCAAAATATATCTAAGATTACGTGTACCTTTTTTTCAAGGTACAATTTTTTGCTATATCGCCATAAAAGTTCGAAAATGCAGCAGGTGTTAAAAGTGACTGTTTTGTATTTCATCGCGTTTAAAAATTTCTGCTCCCTCCGGAGAGAAAATCGCACGTTCACTTTTCCACCCAATCTTTATAGCAGCCACGCTTTTTTCCTCAACCGCATGGGCACCTCCTAGCACAAAAAGCACCGTCTAAACATCGTCTATATTGGTTCGCTTTTAGCGCCATGATCAGCGGTGTGATCATGATGGTGGTGCTCATATGCTATTGCTGTCACAAAAACGTCCGGAAGCATCGACCGCAGGAATACTCGCAGTACTGGAGAGCCGAACCGGACATTCACAGTCTGGAAGTCTTCACCATGGATACACACGTTAGTAAAAATTTTCACTCAAAAGATCATTCTAATCATTAGATATCGCGAGAATTATCTCCATTAAATGCTCTATTTTTAACATGACAAATAATTTCTTACATAAATAATCATAAAATCCTTATTAATTTTCTATAAATTGACCTTTCTAAATATTGTAAAATCTGTATAAAATCATTGTTAAATGGAATCATTAAAGTTGAATAAGAAAATTATTTTGAATATATTATAGATATGTATACATTTAAAAAAATTAAAATTATTTTAATCATCAACTGACGTCATGAAATTTTTAAAAATTTCTATTATTAAAATAAGATAGGTGTATATGCAAAATTTCAGTTAAGTTTTAATCTTATTTAATAACATAATTTTTAAAAATTTTATGACATCCGTTGATGATTAAAATAAATTTGTAATTTAATTATATAAATTTTCAAGCTAAAATTTAAGAGAGACAGATGATTTGTTACCCGTTTATGACATTTGAATCACGAGGAAGGTCTTTAATTTTCAATATTAAAAATCTCTATAATAAAATCTCACTATCCCAAATTTCCCAATATCTCCCAAATTTCCAGTATTTATCGACAATTCTTCTAATAATATTTTTCGCAGAATTTAAGATATCCCGCATAATGTTACATAAAATTCTTAAATCACACCACCTACTCAACGCAATGTGCGCACCGCGAATAGCTTATATCCACCTGCCGACCTTTTACGCAACCTCTCGCTCACCTTTGTATTTACGCTCGCAATTAAATAAAAATTCGCATATCTCGCGGAAACCACGCCCTCGCGTTACACATAAAGGAACGAGCGCGAGAACATCGGCTGGAATTGTACGCCGCAATGCGACAACGTGCATACTTCACACTTTCAGATCTAGAATCTCGTATTGTATCGTGTCTCGAACAGACATGACGTAATATAAAAATATAAAAAGAACGAGATATATAAAGAGCAATATTATTAATAAGATATAAAATATAATAAGATATAAAACATAAATAAAAAGAATATTTTGTACAAAGATTTAATGATGTATATCTGTCATAATTAAGATATGAAAAAGACAGATATAAAAAGTAAACATAAAAGTATTTATACTTAATTCTATTTTTTCTATACAGCTAAACTATTGTACACTTTTAGAACTTAAAGTAAAATAGGTATACGTTTGATATTTGACAAAAGCAAGAAAGTTCTAATGCAGTTTAATGCAGAAATAAAAAATAGACTTCTTGTTAAATGTTGACAGGTTATTCATTTTGAACTTTTATATTTGTCTCTCGTTCCTAATATGGATTTTTTATCCCAATGTTTCACTGTTATATTTTTAACAATTCCGTTTCTCTCTAACAGTGCATCGAGAGATCGGTAACGTCTCAGACCCATCAGGATGAGGGAATGACCGTGTCTCTTCCGCCGTGTTCTGTGACCTCAGGCCCGCCACCGGCCTACGAAAGCCTCATCTTCGACCCTCGGGCACTACCCTCGCCGACCGACAAGAAGGACGAGTCTGACGATCCGGGCAATATTATCTCACCCCCGATAAGCAGCTTGCCCACCGAGTCGGAGGCCAACAGGATTAACAAACGGGAGGATATCCCGAGGGACGATCAGGGTTTACCTTCCTACGAAGCCGCCCTAAAATTAGAAGCTGACGGCTACGTTTAAGAAACGAATAAGGGTTCGCCGGAACTACTTCGATCGTGGATCTCCAATCGTGAAAATTTCCAGAGACCTTGGATAAAACGCCAAGTCATGGATATCAAGGAAAAATTCCATAATCGACAAGGTGACTCAGTCGACTGTAGGCGATCGGCTGTCGCCAGCTGAAATTAAGTCTCGCGAAAGCATCTGTGAGAGAATGGCGCAAGGAACTGAGATTGATTTTTAATCGAGGAAATGGAAGAAGAAAGAAGAGATAGATGATTGAGTAAATTTTCCATGTAGATTTGTGAATCGAAGACAAGTTGCGAAAGAAATTTCAATTTTTAGAAAGGAACTATTTTCATCTGCGTGTGAATTAAGACGCACGAAAGTACGGAATAATTTTAATCAAAGAGATGTAAAAAGAGGAGAAAATAGTTTTAAATAAGCTTTTTTTAGAGTGAAAAAAAAGACATTGGACGTTATATCAAAAATATTCTAAAAATTTTAGAACATTATTCTCCTCTTGCCTTATTGAATGATTCTAATTCTTAACGATAGAATGGTAGAGCGTAAAACTACAAAAGATAAAGTGCCTGAACATATATCCTTTTTCGAAACGTGTGTAAACGGAGGACAAGATGAAAGAAAAACGACGAAGTAATTTTTCGAAAGTACGTACTGTTTTTCTTTCTGTCTTGTCTGAGTAAAACAACACATAAAATCTTTGAGAGTGACTTTTCATCTACAAGATGTAATAAGAAAATTTTCAGAAGATGTAATACCTCGACTTTTCTATTTTTCGATAATCTCTATGATTAAATGTGTCGATAATATTTTAAATATAGGAGAAAAAACGCGTCGTAGAAATGTACAGATATACAAGATATCGATTTATAGAATGCGAAATATATATAGAATGCGCCGAAATGTAGCACAAGTTAATGTCAGTATATATGAAAACGTTGGTAAGTCGCGGCCTCAGGCAATGAACAGAAAGACCTAATTTCGCAGATAATTACATTTTATAGATGTTAAGAAGGAGAATACTTAACGGCATATTTTTCCCGGTCGGTCATTAGTTTAAGAGAGCAAAAGCGGACATAGAAACGCAGCACCGTTAGATTACAGTTTCCGTTTGAATAAACAATGCGCATCGCTATAACGTAAATGATACTTCGTGTAATGCGCGCACGACATCGCGAAATTTATGCGGTGTTTCGCTAGGAAAACGCTTCGAAACATACCATTTTACGTAGAACTTTCCTCTGTATGATAGATGAATATGTAAATAAATAGCTGTGCATTCAATATGCATTTTTAGGCGTGCACCGGCAACAGCTGCAATGATGATTTATTATTATGTCGACCGTATGAATATTAAGTAGTAAGTATTATCGATGAAACTGTGCCTGACACGAATGAGTTATACTCGAACGTAAGATTTTGCGCTTTATATAAACACGCGCATAACAATTTTTTTAATTTCCGCTAATTATACAATCGCATAATAATTAATATTATTGCATCATAAAGAATCAGATATTTTTAAATACAATTATATAACATTACATATAATGGTCCCTACGTTTGATTATAAATACGTTTGCCATCGCATGCATTTATGGTCGAATTGCGACTTATACGTGAACACTTAATTACGATGGTAATAATTAGTCGCAACAAGAAATCCTCGAGAAAAAATAATAACCTTGATATCAAAAATGTTTGCTCGAAAGAGCACCTTATCGAGCGAACGTTTTATCGAGCTGGTTAAAAACCTGCGATAAAATGTAATATGCTTTTGCCAAAAGCTGTGAATATTTTAAGAAGCATAAAAAGCAACACACATTTATTTATTTTATATTGTAAAAGTCTTAATTGAGTAGACGAATGATCCATTAGCGTTCGCGATTACTTCTAAAGTTTTCTTTTAGTATCAGCATTATTATATACCTATTTATGTACAGCTAAAGATACAGTCTAGAGAGGACCGACTTAATGATGTTAATTGTAAATTTTCAACGTAATCCTAAAATAATTATATTTAACGAGACGTATACGATAATATTGTATGAGAAATAAGATCTCTCGGTAAAAATTCATTTTATCCATAATTTCAATTATCAGAATTAATTCAAGAGTTACTTTGATATTCTTGTTAAAAAGATACTCAAAGTATTCGAACTAATAAAATAATAATCGTCATTAAAATAATCTGTTATTAATATTTATTACCAGGAAGTGTGAATTATCCTGTAGTTTAGTTCTATATGCCATCTCGTGAAGGTTGACTGATATATACGATGAAATCATGACAAAACAAAATATACCGTATGCAGTATCCGTTGATAAAACATCGCGATAGGTAGTCGCGGTGAAGCGTCGTAAACTCTAATTCAACGATGACTGCGATGCATCGATGACGATAAATCTAAAAGCGTGGTTACGTGCACGCTATTGCATGGTCGGTGTGATTCATTAAGCGTGCGTGTATAGAAAAATTTACTGGAAGAACTGGCATACGCGAGATGCTAAACGTTCACAAAATAAAAAAAAATAGTATCTCGCATATCTAAAGCCCGACGTTATTTCTCAATAATTTAATAATTTACAAATAGCTCAAAAAGATGTAAACTTCTTTTTTTTTTTCTTCAATTACTAAATAATCCACAAATATTTATAAGCAAGAATAAAATAAAAATATTAAAATAGCAATAATTTATCAGTTTAATTTAAAGCAAAACATATATCTTTACTGTAATCAACTTTAAGTACTCTCTAACAGTTAATGACTAAAAAAATATAAATCATAAAGATAATTACGACTGGAAAAGAACACGGTACAACCGAGTACAATATGAAGGATATAATAGCAAATTGCTGGTCTGATATCTTTGAAAATCAAGGACGAAGAACGGCGACGACGACATAAAATCATGTACCATAACGCGAATGAGAGAAGTGCAAATTACACGATCTACGCGTGCGATCGTTTCGCAAATTTTCTGCAAAATAATTAAGCTTCTCGTTAACAATATCCGACTCGAAATCGATATTACGTTGCAGTTTAGGATCGCACATAATTAGCACCCTCATCATGCGGCCTTCGCGAGGAATTGAGCCAAACAGAAAATAATTTCCGCTCTGCGGCCTGATTGCGGACCCCGCGGCGGAATCCGAGATTCCCGTAACGAGTTCGTATGGAAATTTCAAATTGCTAACGATACCTACGTACGACACGTACGTACCGCGTATGGTATGCGTATCATCCGGATGTGCCGTAATTAGATTAGATTTACACAGAATAACTCGCGTGTTTACATTTCCCACCGGTGTAACGCAGAACTGTGCCACTCGCCCCGTTATCAATTTAGTCATACGACAGCGTACACATTTCCAAAGATAAACCGGTATCACGTATAATTCTCTTTTATATTGCATAACATTGTTATGATATAGCCGAAAGAAACCTAGATGCGTAATGTGTGTGTATGTGTGTGTGTGTGTGTGTGTGTGATGAGATAATATTATTTCGCTAAAAATATATTTTAAAAATCAAGAAAAGGCATTGAGTTTGCATAATAAACGTTTTCATAAATAATTGGATAACTAGATTAGAAATTAGGCGACAATATAAACTAGATTAAAAGTTCTTCTAAGATGCATACTAATGCAAACTCATAAAGCTCACCGTGAAGTTTCGAATAATCTCTCGGAAACTTTGAAATTCCCTCAAAATTTTTGCAAGTTTAATTATTGGGAACAAAATTTGGAATCTTTTTAGTGTTAGTGAGTTTAGCTAATGAAAACTATATCGAGGCGAAGATGAGTACGAGAGAGAAACAGTTCTGGCCAGATAATTTTCTTGGATAGGACAATTACAAAGTTCTGCTCCCTGGAGTTTCATAAAATACGCTATCGGGAAATCTTCCGGTGTGGCTCCTCATTAAGTTTCAATCGGCCATTAAATGTATCGGTACTGCATGATCTACGTGTATGTACGCATGCATTATTCAATGACCGCCCTAGCAGGAGTAACATAACTCGTTTCATCCCGTACATAATTAACGAACGTACTGACCCGCGGAACTTTCAGGTCCGCAAAAAGAATTGAAAGAATTGCGGTCAACGTAAAATGATAATCGATGGATGGAATGAACGCTGATCGAATCCTAACAACGCGAGTCATTCTTAATTAAAGCGACTGACGAATTTATTTCAATGCGCCTAGATCAAAAATAATTCTAATCGTAACGTTTGCTGATAAACAGAACTGCCTTTTAATCGCGAGATATCCGAAAGTTACGATCAAAATTAAGGTACAACAAATTTTTAATTTAATAAAAATAATTATGTATCTTATGTGCTATACTTATGTGAGATATGACAATATTTGACAGAAATGCCCAAATGTACAAACATCATCATTAACTCATTGATTTTTACACTTGCTAGTAAATCTTATTAAATTTGACAGCTCAGAAAAATTGAATGATACAACAGAAAATCCTAAATAACATAAATATTAATAAATAGACTTTCTGCTCTTTTTAACTAAACCTCTTTGCATCGTTTATCTTTTTTTCTCCAACATTGAGAGAAGAAAAAAAAAAGAACCATGCAAGAAGTTCAGCTGAAAGAACAGACCTATTCTCTAAATTTTTTGGAGTAAAATCTTGCTCTAAGAGAGTAGAAATACAGCCATTTTTTGAGAAGAATGAAAATATTTCACTTTCTGAAAAAGAATAACAATTTTCACTTTTTTCAGGAAGTGAAATATTTTCACTTCTCTCTAAAAATGACTATGTTTCCATTCTCTTGAAGTAAGATTTCACTAAGAAATTTGGACAATAATATTAAACAATATCAGTTTATACTCTTAAACATATATCGTTAAGAATTGAAATTGAAATAAAACCTTACGTAAATCACAAGAATATCAGTATCATCCAAAATAAAAAAACAAGTATCTCAAAATCAAGAGTTATTCATTGAAAGGAGATACATCTATATGCGGTACAAATATGTTAGATTAGAGACATATTACATGAACATTATAATTTGCGAATATATTTGGTACATTTACACGAATTCCCGACGTGCATCACAACATACGCCTCGAATACTATCTGTAAACTTATTTTACTAATATTCAATAAAGTTTTCTAAAATTAAAAGTAATATAAAAGGCTCTGTAGTAATAAGCAAAGGTAGTATAAAAGAAGGGCAACGAGCCAATGAAAGTTTTCTAATATTCGGAATAAGGCATTAGCATTATAAGCAGCACACGTCATCTGTAATCGATAGAATTCAGTATCTGTAGACTCCTTTTATTGTCATTTATTCAAGAAATATAACAAATGCTAGTATATTTGTAACGCTGAATACTTTCTATTATATGCACGGGATCATACGGGAAGTCTTGTACTTCCTAAAGAAAAATATTAAGTTTCCGCCAGTCAAATCGCTTATTCATCATTACCTCATATATTTTATATTTCGTGCTAATATAAACCGGGAAAAATACTCCTTATTAATATGTACTCGAAATTTTCATTTACAAACTAGTGCAAAAGAATTTACGCGATATATATTTAAGAATGTAAGTAATTCAAATAATATGCTATCTGATTGTGAGTGTTTATAATAACCATTATTATTTACAAGACAACTTTTACATGAAATTGCTCATAAAAAACTCATAAATACAAACGTCATTATATCCTAGTATTACTAAATAAAACTAATGTCATTCGGCTTGCCTTTTAAAAAACGTTATCTATGCCACGAGCAGTATTTTTTTCAATGATCATCGGCACCATTACGATAAATGATATACGTAATATGTCACTGCAAATGTGCATTATCGTTTGTCGGTGCTATTAATTTGTATAACGTGACAAGATAATGCGTTAACGTAAGGCGATCCTACAATGTGTGATATGACATAATTAATATAACGAATAAAAGCAGTTGTTCATAGATAGTTGTCACGCATGCGAAAATATGAAGGAATTCATAAAGTTTGCACAATATAGCGGATGGTAAAAATCATAGATGACAGCGAAATGAATCGACGTAAACTGAATCTGACAGATGATATATTTCATATAATAAATTTGATTATTAACGGTTTATATTATGATATTAACTTCGTTAAACTGATTCAAGTGGTTTATGCATGTAGCGCACAATCTTTATTCATTCGCTTATAATTAATCATATCTTTCGAAAGATTATTCGGCTGATGTATAATTACAAATTAATATAAATTATTCCAAAGCATAATTAAAATGGATAAAGTAGGCAATTGAAATAATATGAAT